AACATTGTTAGTGAAGAAAATGTATACATTACCCCTTCCAACCAAGTCCCAAATCTGCATAGCCCTGTCCTGGATTCTGCTTCTTGTTTAAACTGTGATACAGAACATCGTAAGTGTGTAACTACCGGTACTTCAAACTAGCTTTTTTCATATAGACTAGCAAAATGTCTGCACGTGTGACAGATTCCTGGAAGGGTCACATCATGCAGGGTCACATCAGCAAAGGTTGGGCCACTCAGTGTCAGAGCTTAAGGACATGTTTCACCCTAATTGTAGCTTCTGGACAACCTCACCCATGTTTCACAGTCACAAGTGTGTGACAAAGTTTGGAATTGATTTCTGGACAGGTGGGGGAGGAAAAGAGAGTTCTAATTCTTATTCTTATTCTTAATGATATACATACCGCACCCATCTGACAGGGTTGCTCCAGCCACTTTGGGCAGCTTCATCTAACTTCCACACCACTATCCCATTCACCTCATCCATTGCTCATTTTGCTTTCTCTGCAGTCTTAGAAAGTCAACTATATAAGCTAATCGCCAAATGGCACCTTAAATCTAGGTTGTGGTCACCATAACGGAATATCTAAGCCCCATTTTTCCCCAATGGAATTTGTTATTATTATTTATTTCATTTCTATAGCACTTACACTTAAAAATAAATAAATCTCAAAGCGGTTTAGAACACATTAAAACATCAAATAAAACAATCCAGAAAAAAACAAATTCAAGCTTCAAGTAAAATATTTCAGATCCTTCTCTAAGTGAAATTTTGCTTTCTCCATATGTATTTACCTTTTCACCATATTTTTCCGTCCATAAGACGCCCCCATGTATAAGACGCCCCCTATTTTTGGGGACTCAGATTTAAGAAAATGGGGGAAGACACTATCTGTGTATAGGACGCACCCTACTTTTTGGCATTATTTTTTTAGGGGAAAAACCTAGTCTTATACATGGAAAAATATGGTAATTTATATAGCTGCCCCATAACAGAAGTACAGTGGTACCTCGGGTTAAGTACTTAATTCGTTCCGGAGGTCCGTTCTTAACCTGAAACTGTTCTTAACCTGAAGCACCACTTTAGCTAATGGGGCCTCCTGCTCCCGCCGTGCCGCCAGAGCACAATTTCTGTTCTCATCCTGAAGCAAAGTTCTTAACCTGAAGCACTATTTCTGGGTTAGCGGAGTCTGTAACCTGAAGCGTATGTAACCTGAAGCGTATGTAACCTGAGGTACCACTGTACTCTTGGAAGCCAGTGTGGTGTAGCGGTTAGTGTGTTAGACTAAGCTGGGAGATCAGGGTTCAAATCCCCACTTCAGTCATGACGCTCACTGGGTGACCTTATGCCAGTGACAGCCTCTTAACCTACCTCATAGGGTTGTTGTAGGGATTAACTTGAGGAGGGGGTGAACCATGTACTCCTTGGAGTACAAGGTGGAATATAAATGCAATGAATAAGCTCTTCTGCTTACCTGCTTAAGAAGGCTGGAGGGGCCAACTAGATGGAGATGTCAGTTGCCAACCTGGCACCCAGAGATCTCCCCATGGTCGCAATCGGACCTGTGCTAGTCACAAAACATGCCTGGCACCTGGGGAATTTCAAGTAGTGTCTCTTTGCTATAAAGGCAACAGCTACAGTGATGAATGTGTGAGGAGAGTTCTTTCACCTATCTTCTATCCACTTCTGCTTCACTGACACTACCAAAGAACAAGGGAAACCATCTGGGGTGGCTTGGCTCTGGAAAACACTGACCTCCATGCATAACCCATCCCTCCCATATTGCCCTACTGGCAGAGGAGAAGAGCACCCCAAATTTCTAACACAGGAGACACCCGTACATCTCTGTTCAAAATGATGAACATGAAGGATAACTCAAAATGCCTATTCTACCATTCAATTGCTGAAATTGCGATATTGGATAAGGCATAGTCTAAAACAATCAGATTATTACTGAGGTCTCCTTTTTAGATTCTCCTTAAAAATTGGGAACTCAAAGGGTAACCCTAAATAATGGGATGTCGAAACTTCTGGTAGCCAACACATACTTCCCCCTCCCTAAATTATAAGTCAAGGCACACATACAGGGAAAAGGTTTACTCTGAGTATGTCTAGAGTAAGAATTACCCACCATCAGAAGAGTCCACCACCCAGTATCTCTTCATGGCAGGTATCTGGCTGTGTGCCCAAACTGAAAGAAGCTAAGCTCAGAGTAGCCACTTATGAGTCAGACAGCCCACCTCCAAGAGCAGGTAATTCTGCTACAGCAGAAACAATCAGTTTCTTCCCTGCTAAAGCAAAGATAAACTGTCCCCCACCAGGGAACCTCAATGGAAGAAAAGACACCCAAGACAGTGACTCATGCAGAAGCACAGCAGTAGCCCCTTCCACAGGTTGATGTGAGGAGTTCTACAGGAGCCTATTTTAAATATTTATTGCAGCACACTAATAGCATGTTAATGACAAACTGTGTAGAAATTGTTTGGTGAAGATAGTCCTATGATACCCAAAATTTTGACTATTGGGGATGACATAGTCAAAGATACATCAAGAACTTATAGAAGTGTGACATTTATCCAAATAGTCAAAGCTTGAAACATGAAGTCTATTTCATAACAGAGGCAAAGCAGAACATAGTAACCAAGCTGAGCATAGGATAGACTGTTGGGCTGTTGGGATTTCATTGCCTTTTTACATATTTTGACTCACACCTTGATTTGAGAGTTGGGAAACTTCCCAGAGCAGCCAGAAACATGCATCATTAACTGCATATAGATGATAATGCCTATTTTTAATGTTCTACTTACAAAACTGTTCTATTCTATAAAAAACAGATTTCCGTAAATTGGTGTTAACTTATACAGCTACACCCACATCTCTTTTCCCACTTCAGAACTTATTTCAAATATGCTTCAATCCACTTTTTATCTTAATACCTTAAGATAAACCACCACATAAGGCATAACACTTTTAACAAAAACAGAAATGGTGTTTTAGTAACTCCAGTTTAGTATATCAATACTTTGAAATTTGTAATCCTCCAAGACATTTGGGGAAAACCCCCCAACTCATTTTGTTCTTTACGGGCAGCACGTGTAACACATTAGCCTACATGTTCTGCGATTTACAAACTGAATCTCAGTCTGAATTGCATATACATATTGTAAGATTCCACCCCCCCCCAGCAAAATAGAAAAGCAGCTACTCTTAAGTCAACTTTCCCTGCGCACATACACTTTACAACTGCACAAGAATATTGCTAGAAACTCATATATAATTTCCACTACTAGTATTCAGATTCACTTTCAATTGTTTTGCTATTGGCCACAACCACAGAACACAAATGTAAAGCATACCGAAAAGGTAACACAAAAAAACCTACATATGTAAAAGGTGGAAAATCAAACCAATGAGCAGCGTCAATTTCTATTATTCAAGTCAGCATATTAGCACCAGTAAATGAACAAATAGTGGGGAGTAAATTTCAGAACACTTTTTAGCTCAAGATTTTTGGAATAAGCAAAAATAAAATCAACCAGCTGATTTCCCCCCTCAATACCTTAATGTCAGTTTTACCTACTTAAGAGACGTTCATGACTATAATACTGGACCTACATACATGCATGGCTATGTTACAGTATGTTAATCAGACTGTTAATGTACCTTATTTATGATAGTATAAGCAGCCACCTAAGGGCCCAGCTTAATAACTTTCCAGAAGCATAATCGGGCTACAAGCTGATTGTTTGGAATAAGCACCATGGAGCTCAGTGCAATTTGCTTCCAAGTAAACACACACAGGATCCCACTGATGTAAGCAGGACATAAGTACACACTGCTAAATCCAACAGAAGTTAAAGCACGTTTCATGTTTATGGTATTACAACTCACACCACTTCCACTAGTGGGGGCGGGGAGAGAAGGGGGGGCGGCGAGGGGAAGGGCACTGTGGACAGTAGGCTGGTTGTCTTCTTGAACACACCTGAGGCTCTTTCATTTTAAGAGAATTTCTCTCACCAAACTCAATTACTACAGAGAGAGAAAGGGGAGGGGTAATTCTGGCGAAGTATTCATTGATGAATACCAAATTGAAGGGATGGCTTTGCAGTGGCTGCCTCTCCTTCCTGTACAACGTAGTAAATGGCACCAGCAACTGATTACTACGGAGGTGTGCAGTGGCCTCTGCTGGCACATTAAACGTGTCCAACAGTGTGAGACTCTTACAAGTGGAACTGACCTCTTTTTAACAAAGCAAAACAAAAATCCCAGCACAAAAGAGGAGGAAAAACACGCCGTGAAATACGGAGGAACAGATTTGTGTCACACAACCTATACAAAGCTGCCTCGATCTCCAGGTTTTGTTTTTTTGTTTTATTAAGCTAGCAGCGACAAAAGACCCACACTAAAAACAACACACAGGGAGCAGGACTGGGGAAAGGAGGGGAAAAAATCACTGCCCACTCTTAGCGCGCTGCGCAAGGCCACTCGCTGTCTGCGGCAGCAACAGACCCTCCACAGCCACCCCTATAAATACTCCCTTTGCTCAGAGGCATGCAGGACAGGATCCCGTTGTTGTTGGCGTGTGTGTGTGCGCGCTGTGTTTTTCTTTTTTGAGAACGGGGAGGGGGGGGAAGAGGAGAGAGAGAGAAGGGAATTGCCCCCTTTCGGCGCAAGTTATTAATTAAAAAGAAATCGCAGACCCCACCCCCCAAAAGCACCGAAATGGCCCTCGGCAGCACCGTCGCTTATTGATAAAAGCTGGAACTTGACGCGGTAGTAGCCCTCCTTGCCCACAACATGCCAGACAGGCAAATCTCCCCCCCCCCCAAAAAAAAAAACACCCCACCACGGAGGGGGTGGGGGACACACGCAAAGCCTTTTTAAAAAGGGGGGGGAGGGGGCCACAAACCAAGGCGCGCGCAGCCTTTCCTCCCCCCCCCCGCTCTTTTTTCCTTGCTCGCTCCCCCCTCCCGGCCTGAGGGTCCCCCTCTCTCTCTCACCTGCGGGAGGGAGGTTCTGCTGCTGAGGCGAAGAGCTGCTCCTGGCGGCGGCGGCGGCGGCGGCGGCGACGCTCGACTCCAGGCGCTGCCCGAGGAGAAGCGCCACCCAGAAGGAGCCGAGGAGGAGCCGCCGAGGGGCTCCCCGCGCCGCCATCGCTCCCCCGCTAGCCCCGAGCCCGGCGAGCGGGCGAGAAGCGGCGACGGAGGAGGCGGCGGCGGCGGCAGCTCCCTCCTCAGTGGCGGCGGCGGCGGCTGTGGCAACTCCTCCTCAGACGACTCAGTCACAGGTCCTCCTTCCAAGGCGCCCCGAGAATAAAAAGGAGGCAGAGGCGGCGGCGGCGTTGTTCTCCGGTTTACTCCATGGCGGGCCGGTCCCAGCGCCGGGCTCTGAGCGGGGCTCCTTTTTCCTTCTCTCCTCACACAAACACACACACACACACGGCCGCCGCTGCGGCGGCAGCAGCAGCAGCAGGAGGAGCAACAGCGCCCAGCGCGCGCGCGCGCGCGCCCGCGCACCACCACCACTACTACCACTCCTCCTCACTCGCCGCCGCTCACGCGACCAACCGTCCTTCCCCGCTCCTCCTCCTCCTCCTCACACGGCCGCCGCGCGCCGCCTCCGGCCGTCGTCGCGAGCGCGCACGCTGAGCTGACAGAATTCCAAAGGAAAGGGAAAAGGGGGTGGGGCAGTCCAGGAGGAGGAGGAGGAGGAATGCGCGCGCACCTCCGCACGCCACGCGAGCCGTCGCGCGGAGCAGCAGCTCCTTGGTACTTCCCACCTCTCTCTCTCTCTCTCTCTCTCACTCACTCTCTCTCCCCTCCCCCGCCCCTTCGCGGACATTCCCGAACTCCGCCTCGAGTGCCTTGAGTGAGAAGGAAAACCCGGCACGGCGCTTCCCCCGTCGCGCTTCCGACGTCGATCCCAAAGGAGGGATGGGATGGAACGGGGCGAAGGAGAGAACGTTGCGGGGAAAGGATTCGACGGGTGGCGTGGGAGCGGGATGCAAAACCCGCCCTGGCTCCGCTGCAAATAGGAACGGGAGGGCTTTAAAAAAAAAAAAGGCTCGGAGACCCGGCGGACTTGCAAGCTCGGTCGGTTTACTCAGAAGTAAAGGAGCCGCTGGGCTCGAGGGGGCCTTGCGACGGGGTGGCTGGGCTTGCAGAGGCGGCTGTGCTGCGCGCACACTTGCGTGTAGAGCGAATCCCCCACCCCATTGAAGCCGGTGGGTTTGCTTTTGAGTAAACGTGTCCAGCCCAGGATTGGCTGCGGTGGAGGGAGGGAGACGGCAGCGGAGGGAGAGGGAGCCGCAGCAGGAGTCTCTGTACCCCGCTCGGTGCCTCCTGCTTACCAAACCGCATCCTTTCCCCACACTGCCTCCTTTGCAGGAGAAACCGAACCGAACCACCGCAACATAAGAAGGGTGCTTGGTGCATTTTTGCATTTCCCGCCGTCAACCGAGGGCAAAAATCTGCATCTTTGTTCACAGCCAGAAATGTCTCGAGTTTTCCCTTTTCTTTCAAAGGCAGCATGCCACTCTGCAGATTTTTGGGAGGGCAGCAGCAGGAAGCTGCTCGCATGCCTGTCTGTGGGCTTCTTATCACCTGCATCTATCTATTTGCTGCACTCATCGGTTGCCTCGTCTAATCACAATTCCAGGTGATATGCAACAGTTGTATGAAGCTAAAATTAAACTATGGCAGTAGATGGAGCAGAGAAGAATGTGTGAGTGGTTGCTGAAGTCACAGCCCACCAATGGAACGGGAACTCCCTTTTCACCACAGCGCACTGGTTGTTGAGTGTCTTGTTCTGCATGCAGATGCTCCTACGCTCAACCTCAGCATCTCCAGGCAAGGCTGGGAAAATACCCCTGTCAAAAATCCTGGAAGGCCACTGCCGATCAGAATAGGCAGTACTGAGCTAGATGGACCAAAAAACTGGCTTCCTCTGCTCTTTGCCACCTCTTCTCTCTCTTTCTCTGCCCCCGCCCCCAATTCTTCCCCATCCTTTCCACCTGCCTGAGATCAGGTAGAGGGCTAAAGGTTGCTCATCCCTGCTTTTGAGCCTAGCTGCAGAGCAGTCTCAGCCAGCAGATGGAGGTGTGTCTTCTCCCACACTGGCTGGAGGAAGGGAATGGTGAAATAGCATAATTCGTAGAATTCTAGAGTTGGAAGATGTCCTGAGGGTCATCTAGTCAAACCCCCTGCAATGCAGGAATCTCGACTGGATCATCCATGACAGGTGGCCATCCAACCTCTGCTTCAAAACCTCAAGGAGAATCCACCACCTCTTGTGAGAGTCTATTCCGCTGTCAAGCAACACTCACTGTCAGGAAGTTCTTCCTGATGTTTAGTTAGAATCTCCTTTCTTGTAACTTTTTTTTTTTAACCAACAACCAAACACAAACAGTGAACCCCCCCCCGAGGCGGCTGATACATTGGGTATACATAATCAATAATAACATATTCAAATCAACCATATGTAGAATTTTATATATGTTAACACTCCTCCATCCACAAGGTTTATTTAACTTTTAACATTTTAATTGCCCCAAATTGTTCAAACCTACCCAAATAATTCAATATCTTCTCAAACCAATCCCCCTCTTTCTCACTGACCTTAAACCCTTTCATTCTGTGTATCTTAACAGTTAGATATTCTAAAATTATAATAATATTCAGTTTTTTCCTCCATTGGTTCATCCCTAGCTCCTTGCATTTTTTCCAATTACTCGCTATAACCTGTCTGGCTGCAGTTACCATCAATTTTACCCATTTACATTCCTCTTTTGTTTTTAACTCGGTGCTACTCAGACCAATAAGAACCATTAATTTAGATATTCCCACCTTCCAACCCACAATCCCCGATATTTCTATACCAATCTGTTTCCAAAATTCATTAACTAACTGACAATCCCACCACATATGACTGTACGTTCCCATCACTCCTTTCTTGTAACTTGAAGCTATAGGTTCAGGTCCAAGCCTGCTCCATCCTCCATGTGAACAGTGGTGATAACTTGAAGTGGGGGAAGAATCCCGATAGTTAAAAACACCTGTGATTTGGTTCTGACTCTTAAATCCCTTTCTGCTCTTTTCCTTCTGGAGTGGTGCTAGGTGAAACATGTGTATGTTCTTCTGTCCTCCCCCCCTGAGGAACAGGAGATAATTAGGCCTATTTCACACATGCATATTCATTACCTGAGTGCCTCGATGAAGTATCAGGTTATGACTTGTCTATGTCAGTGAGCCATCACAGATCAAAGACTAAAGAAGGAATTTCCATATCACTTCTTATCAGCTCAAAACATTTGCTAATCTGCAGTCTGGTATACTCATAGCTGAAGGTGTCCTGAATATTATTTCTTAAAGTCTCATAATCTTACATGTACACTTTTTACATCTAACTCTTAACACTTCAAAACTCAGAGCACAAATTGTACCTCCTAAGGAAGGCAAGCAACAGAGAGCCATCGATAACTCAGTCTATGGAATGTTTGTGGAAGTTCCATTGCATATTCAGATACCTGGTTTACATTTAAACATACCTGTATGTAAGGCAAAGCTCCAAAACTCAGTGCAGAGATCCTGCTCCTCACACAGAAGGCTCGAGGTTTAATCCCCATCATCTCCAGGTAAGACTGGGAATATATACCATTTGGAATCTTGGGCAGCATCTACCAGTCACTGTAGACCAGTGTTTCCCAACCTTGGGCCTCCAGCTGTTTTTGGACTACAACTCCCATCATCCCTAGCTAGCAAGACCAGTGGTCAGGGATGATGGGAATTGTAGTTCAAAAACAGCTGGAGGCCCCCGGTTGGGAAACACTGCTGTAGACAATGCTGAGCTAGATGAACAAATGGTCTGTGTACAAGGCAGCTTCTTATTTTTCTGTCAACAAGGAATAAGTGCAGGTTTTTCTGATTTGGAACAAGCTTTCCTTTCCCCCTGCCTCCACTCCTGCTATTTCATTCATTACTTTTTTTCAGTCAGACCCTGCCCAGGCCATCACACAACAGCAAAAACAATGCTTTTTTATTTTTACAGCAACCCAATACCCTCATAGCTAAATAATGCCAAGGATGCCAGGACAATATCTTGCAGCCATCAAATGCCTGGGTAAATAAGAATGTTTTATGATTGCAGCTAAATGTTAATAATGAGGGAGACGAGGCACCTCACCAGGGAAGGCATTCTGTAAGCAGGTAAACACTACCAAGAGGGCTCTGTTGCCAGTTGTGTTGTGTTGGGGGCCACAGGGGGCACAATATTGTTAGGGGTGCAAAATTTCAACACCCGGTGCTGCCTCAATACAGCTTCACGCTTCCCTCGCTGGGCTCCGTTAAAAATGGTTTCTCCATGCAAACTAGGGAGTGACCTCTCCAGACAACAGACTCCCTCTTCCTATCTCTGTGGCTGCGATCTCCTAGGTCAGTGTTTCCCAACCTTGAGCCTCCAGCTGTTTTTGAACTACAATTCCCATCATCCCTGACCACTGGTCTTGCTAGCTAGGGATGATGGGAGTTGTAGTCCAAAAACAGCTGGAGGCCCAAGGTTGGGAAACACTGTCCTAGGTGACACTGATGCCATTAGGCAGTTGAAATGTGTATGAGTGCTACATCCATTTCCCTCTCACCCCCTCTGTGTGGCCCTGGGTACCGGCAACCCACGCTATGCCACTGCCTGTTGCAGACCAGTGCCAGCTGTGCAGCAGCATCCCAAATATATATAGCCTTCTATGCTGTTTCTCCCCACTTCACTACAAAGTAAGCTGCCTACTTTGGGGTTCCCACAAACACCCTGTGTGATATTTTGCTCAAACGTTTATTTGATTTTTAAAATTAAAATAAATACATATATTTGCACTTTAAAAACCGGGTCCAAGAAGGCTAAGGGTCTGGCGGCTAAATGGCCAATGCAAAAGCCAGCAACCACCACTGTGCACAATCCTACCCTGAGGAGGGGAAAGGCAGCTTTGGGGCTGACCTAAAGGCTAGCTACTGAATGCTGCACCAATCTGGCTTCTGTGGAAGGGTCCCCCTCAGCTGAATCCAATGGGACCAATTGCCTGTGGAGCGGTGAGCTCTGCTTCACTGGAGGCCTTAAGGCAGCGACCCTGCAGCCACTCACTATAGATGCTCCAGCTCTGGATTTGCTTCATCAAGCTAGAGGTTAGACACAGGCAGAAGGATGATTTGCAGTATATCAGCAACAATTTCTGATTTGCAATTGTTCAACAATAAAATGCCTCTTCTTTCTTAATTAGGCTGCTCTAATAAAGAAAGCTTGGGGGGGGGTCGGGCTTGGATTTATGTGTGAAATGACTGAGCTCCATCTGGATACTGTAAACAAATTCATGGGCTGAGCACATGCACAGAGGCATCCTGTTTCTTAATTCTAGGAGCGTGTCTGCCCTACTAAGCCCCTATTACACACCTGACTTGAGTAGCTTGGGGGTTATAATCAAAGAACTAAGTTGTTTGCAGAAGGCTGGCGTCTGCCCGCCTTTGAACTAAATGTCCTACAGCCTCCCCTCCAATTCTAACACAGTACCATTGCTGAAAATGCAGAATGTCCGTTTCCACAATAGGCTCAG